GCCTGTTCAGAAACGGACCGTGAGGCTTTCTTTAAGTATCAGTCCAGAAGAGTGGACTGGAGGATTACTGGGATCATTGTTTTTCACTACATTTCTCTTAGCTGTATATCCAGGGATGCTGTTTAGTTCTGTGCTGGTGACTGCTCTTTTAACTTCATATTGTAAGTAAAGAAAGCTTGATCTAGGATGTTTCAAAGTATCTCAGCCTGAGCAAAGAGAGTATTGAGAACATTCTTGTCAAACTTGGTCATCAACTGTAGAAATAATGTTTGCAGCCTGACATTAAAAAAGAAGCAAGGAGAAGCTGATCAAATGCACCATAAAGAAACCAAATTTTCCATTCCTTTACTCTTTCCTTGACACGTTGCACTTCATTGGAAGCTTGCTAATGTACCAGCCAAAAGAATTGTAAGGACCTAGATTCCTTCTTAATACAGCAGTCATGGTTCACAAGTTAGAATCTGTATAGAATTAACCAGTAACACAGATGAATGGAAAAACATACTTAAAGAGCTAAGAAGTAGTACTCTGAAGGGTTTATATGTTAGAAAACCTCTATCAATACGGCACATTGGTTCTTTTCCTATTTCCACCACTGACCTAAAAAATGGATCACAAAATTATAGACATCAAATGAAGATGGGAAGTGTCATAGCGGTGTTGATGCCTGTACTGGAGACAGACAAAGCACAGCAGTTCACAAAAGCACAGACCACTCTTTCCATGTAAGTGGTTTCCTCCACAGGTTTTTTAGCAAACTTCATATTCCCAGCAAAAGCAGCTTAAAGCAGAATTAGCAGAACAAGCTGTGACACATATTGTTCAATTTTTCAAAGTTCCACTTCAATCAGCCATACCTGACAACCGTAACCAGCAGTACCACACCCCTGCATGTAACATTACATCAGCTTTGCAAAACTGCCATGAAATTACATTAGCACAGACACAAAATGGACTTGCTTATTAACGTGCATGCGATCACTAGGAAAAGGCTGAATGATACTTCGCTCTGCATCACAAGCTGCATTTCCTAATGAAAGCCTACCTCAGCCCTTAGACTATTGTTCATCCCCTCAGTATCTGACTGCTTTCCACATAAAATCAATAACAGCAAAGTAGATTTAATGGAGCCTCTGGCACTCTTCCCATTTTAAGGCAAAGTCCTGCTGGGAACGGGTTTCTTTTTCCTCTGACTTCAGGTTTAGACTTGTTTTTGTTGTAGCAAGGAGGCTTTCAGAGAGGAAAATAAAACCAGCATTTGCCAGCAGATATGGATGCTTAAGTGTGAGAAAAAATAAATGAACTGGAGTGGTGGCTGAGAGGAGAAGTTTCCTGCCTGGGTCTGATTCTCTCTCAGACATAAAAGAAGTGTTCTGAGAGAGCAGACAGCGAAGTGGGGACCCACTACTAATGCTGTGTCAACCATTTCAAGCAGATAACTCCTACACTGCTGTCTTCCTATGCAGATTACTGCTGCTCTTGGCAGAAAAAAAAATGTGTGTGGAAGGAGATTCATGTTATTTTAAAAATATGCAAGAACTTACATGTGTATTCTTTGGAAAAAGGAGATCAGGAGCACAGTAATGCACAATGGGGAACTGACAGGAAAGGTGCTATGGGATTCTTTGAAAACGTGCCTAACATCAGAGTAAGAGGTGATATCCTCATCCTGGGGAAGGAACAGGATTTCAAGGAAATTCACTTTAGAATTTTATAATAGAAACTATTGTGGTGAGGGTGAATTCATCCTATACTGCACTATGCAGAAGCTGGGACAAATAGTTAAAAGAAAGCAGTGTGATGTGTTGAGCAGGGGGCTGCAGGCTCTGTCTGCTGCAGCGCCAGGGAAACTCCTCACCTTGGGTACACGCAGGGACTGTGCCCTCTTCATGCTCTCTGCGTGGCTTCTTCCCCAGGGCACCAGGGAAATACAACTTTGGAGAACAGCAGCAGTCCCAATTCATCTTGGATTCCCAATTCGGGCTCTTCGTTCTTTCACGATTATCTGCTTAACAACTAAGCAGCAGTGAATGCCTAACATTTAGCCTGTGAGCAATCCTGTTAATTTAATACACAACTCTAGCAAGGTATATGATTAAGTCAACTGGTGACTGAAGGCCTGAACCTGCTACAGTTTGATTTCCACCAGAGAATGGTAGGGATTTTTGAAGCTTTCTGGCTTCTTTCATTGCCCAGCCTCCTCTGTTTTTTCCATATATATATTTACAATGCTGACAAAAAGACTGGAAAGCAAGGGGCGGAGAGCATGAGGGAAGAAGGAAGGGAAGGAACCCAGGGACAGCTCACAGCAGGCTGTGAAATGCAAAGCAGGTTTTTCAAAACCGCATGTTCTAAACATCACCTTGGAGTCATACAATAATAAATACTCAATATTAAACTGAGAGAGTCTAATTGCCAAGTAACTATAGCAATGGAGAGAAAAGGCTGTCTTTGGACACATTCCCTCCTGCCTTAATTTTTCCCTAGAGTGAGTGGGGGAGAAGGGGTGCAGAGAATGTGCTCTAGATCATTAATGGGTAACACTTTCCAGAGCCCCCTCTGATCACTCAGTGACTCTGGGATTTAAAAGAAGCAGACAGATTTCACAGAAGGAAGCTGGACATCCAAAACAATTACACTGAACTATTCCATATCCTTCAAAGGGGTTTAGAGCATCAGGTTCCTGACACAAGGCTGTCATACACATTGAGACCCATTACACAGCAACGTGACCTTTTATAAAGCACCTTATAGTCCAACTGCTCACCATCACTTCCTTCATCCCTGAAGAAACAGCACTTTCCAGTGACTCTAAAAGTCTGAAAATGAGTAAGTGTGAAGTGAAATTACACAGGGACTGTGCTGGTTATTTGGTTTTGCCAAAGAGGAGACCATATTTCTGGGTTGTTTTTAAAAAACAAGTTCTGGAATTTAATTTGGGAAAAAATTAAAGACTTACCTGGAGACTTCAAGTATCTTCTGATAATTATAATTTCCAGAGCTGAGAGTGCTTGAAAATGGGAGGGTAGAGCTGGCACACTGGGAGGTACCATTGGATCAGCAGTTTCAGAAAACACTGCTTTATCTTGTCAGGGAAAAAAGTGCTTGATCCTATTGGTATTTTTATATGAAACACAATGCATGGCTCTATTTCTGATACTGACAGGACACAAATGCAAAGTAGTTTTGAGCACACTGGATGGGGAAGAGAAGAAAAGGAGGCTGCCTTTACAGAGGAACAAGAACTGGCTTCTTCAGTGAAAGCTTTTAAACCTTACATGGATTGGTTTAACCACGTGCCTTCCAAAAACTTCATTAAAAATAAATTAAAAAGCCATTCAGATTGTTAACTCAATAATAGCTAATTCTGAATGTTTAGTGATTTGTGAAGGAGTTGAGCTAAACCTAAGCCTTCATAGTTGCTCTAGTTCAAAAACAGTTTTGCCCCTACGACAAACCAAAGAGCACAAACAGTAATAAATAACTTCAGGAAATTTTCACCAAACTTTTGAAAGTTTAGGCTTTCATTTGTTGGTTTCATCTTTAACTTACTTTTTAAAGAACTTCAAGTTTTATAGAGCAGTATAGCCTCCTCCTCTCCAACCTGATAAAGAAAACTGTCAAAGTGCGAAAAAATCAAAATAAGCAAATGGTTAAAAATTGCCTTACCAAGTGTGAAGGGGGATATTATTACCTGAAAAACACCCTGTGATTTTTCCATAAGGCTTCTAGAAAAAGACTTTCAGAAAGCCTACACATTTGCAATATAAAATTCACTACAGTAAATTTGAAACTATTCACACTTACATTTCTGGTTCAACACCGCAGCCCACTTCAGGCTGTGCCAAACACCCATGATTTGTTTAAATCCATAATTCACCCTCTCTACTCCATTGTATTAACATTATACTAATATATCCTCCCACTCCCTACCGTAATAATGGCAACAGTACGAGGGGGAATGGGCTTAAGTTGTGCCAGGGGAGGTTTAGGTTGGATATTAGGAAGAACTTCTTTACCAAAAGGGTTGTTGGGCATTGGGGTGGGCTGCCCAGGGAAGTGGTGGAGTCACCATCCCTGGAGGTCTTTAAAAGACGTTTAGATGTAAAGCTCGGTGATATGGTTTAGTGGAGGACTTGTTAGTGTTAGGTCAGAGGTTGGACTGGGGGATCTTGGAGGTCTCTTCCAACCTAGATGATTCTGTGCTTATGTGAAACCATTTCAATTTCTGGTGTTACTCTGCTATTTTCTTCACACTTAGGGCCCAGGTGGGTAAAGCAGCAAACCCTCGCTGAGGGGACGGGGCCCTGAGGTGCGGGGCGGGGCCCTGAGGCGCGGGGCGGCCTCGTTCGGCCGGGCCCTGCCGCCGGTAACCAGGGGAACGGGCGGGGCGGGCGAAATCTCGCGATGTTTGCCTGGCCGCCCTTTACCCGCGGCGGCAGATCTCGCGAGAGGTCTCCTGAGGCGGAGGAGGAGGAGGCGAGGCCTGAGGTGGGAGGGGACGGCCAAGATGGCGTCGGAGGGCGAGCTGGGCAGGAAGTGGGACCGGTGCCTGGCGGACTCCGCCGTCAAGCTGGGTACGGGCGGGGAGCGGCCGGCCTCAAGGGGAGGGCCCGGGGAGGAGCGGCGGAGGCCCTCCGGGCAGCTCGGAGCCTGTGGGGGCCGCCTCACGGCACGTCCCGCGGCGCGGCCGTGCTGGGTGCCTGAGGGCCCTGCCGCGGCCGGAGCCCCCCCGGCGCTCCCGGGCCTGGCCTAGGCCCCGGCGGCGGCTTCGTCGCTCTCAGGGCTCGTGAGGCGCCGAGGGGGGAGGTCCCGCGGCCCGGTGGCCGGCAAGGTGACCTTGGAGGCGGGCACGGCTCCCCTGGTCCCCTCGGGCTCCTCTCCTTGGGCTTGGCCCCGTCTGACCCGCGGGGCGGCGGTGGGGGTCGGGGCTGGGCTCTGCTCGCTGCCTGTGGTGAAGGTGAGCGGTGTTTGGGGAGAAATCCCGCTCTGTGCTGAGCGCCGCAGCCGGAGGGATGCCTCCTGCCCGGAGCGGATGGGCCCCGCTCGGTCTCGCCGGGTCCTTCCCTGCCATAATCTCGTCTGGCTCCGTGACAGCGACTTGGGTTTCGAAAGGCGTTTGTGCAGAGCTGTTCCCATCCCTCGGTGTGCGAGGTGGGCTGTGTTTATTAAAAGCAATGCTCAGCGTGACTAGCTGAGAGCTCTGGCACGTGTTGCATAGTACAGTGTGCACACTTTGACATTGAGAAGCTTCCTGTCTGCTCTCCCAGCTCTGCAGCCAGTTGTGGCTTTTCTTTAAGTACAAAGACAGCTCTGTTGATTTTATTCCGTGTTTGTTTGTGCTTCATGTGTGCAGCAAACCATTTGTAACGTTTGACTTTGACCTGGGAGTTTGGTGAGTGATCGGAGTTGTGTTTGTGTGTGGCTCAGTGCTCTCCACGTGATGGGCTGGCAGACTGACTGCAGCGAGGTTGTGGCTTTGTGAGATGAGTGTTCATACGCAGATCTTTAAATACAACATATGGAACAAGAAGCAAAGTGCCTAATATAAAAGGTGTGAGTACCTTGATGGTGTAGAAGCCTTTTTTAGAAGGATAAACAATGGCTGAGAAATGTGAATGTTTATTATTTGTTGCTGGAGTGGCTTTATGCTTGAAAGCTGATGAGAAACTCTGGGTTTTAGTTGCCTAATACTTTTCCATTAGAAAAGATGTTTAATAATTTTGTGTAAACTGAAACTTCCATTGTTTATAACAGACCTTTGAAAAGTGTCAAGTGTTCCGGAGCAATGTTTTGTCTTATGAAATTCTATTCAGGTTTGTCTGACAAACATACCCAGATATGTTTATGTTTCCATAGCATTAGTTGCTTTATCATAAAATATTAAGTATGCCAAATTATAAACAAGAACTCGCGCTGTGCTGCAGCTGTACATGTACATGTAGGGTTCCTGTACAGGGAAAGCCTCTCAGCGAGGCTGAAAGAAGCGGATTCTGAATGGATTATGATGCGGCGTGTCTTATCACCAAGGCATTTATTGTCACTTGGGGCTTTCTTTCATCCTAAAGCAGTGATGGAGGAAAGAAAATGCGTGTAGGCTTTCTGCACTAGTGCTCTCGTCCAAGGATTCCCACTGTTAGCTGCACGATGGCATTGAATAGAGACCTGAGTAAAATTTGTTTTTTAGTAATTGCCCAAAAAGGTTGTGTGGCCTGCAGCTCTTTGATTTTTTTTAACTTCAGCACTAGATGCAGCACAATGGCCTAGGACTTGTATTTCTCCTCGCGTGCAATGGATTTTTGTGATCTGTGTGCTTTTACGATTGATCTCATAACTAAAGGAACCTTCTTCATGGTGTCGACAACAACCGGACTCTCTGTGAGGATGCAAATTGTGGCAGCCCAGGGAGGTGCCTGTAGGCACTAAGTGAGGGTGATGGTGGTCTTCCGATGCGACAGGACTTGGTGGCCTAGCTGGGCAAACTGTTGGCAGACTGCTGAGTGTGCAAGCTGTCTCAGGTGATCTCAGTGCGAAGGATTGTTTTCTCTGCAAGGAGTTTAAAAACTTGCATGGTCACGGTGGTAGTTTTTGGAGTGTTACTTCTGTGTTTGTTGGAATCTCCAATAAACTATGAAGGGGGATGTTATAGTAGAAAGAAGGAAAATAAACCTTTTTTCTTCATAACTTCATCGCTTGTGTGGAATATAGATGTTTACTAAATCCTTGCATCTTTGTTGGGCTTTTCCTTTTGGTGGTCACAGCTTCATTCCTGTCTGCTCCATTACATTGTTTCTGAGCACTGTTGCAAGAAACATCTTCCCCCAAAGTTTGGGGGAAGAGCAAACATCACAATTAGCCCTGCATTGTCTCATTTCAGACACTGTCACTAAAGGAAGGTGCTGAATTTGCAATGAAGCCTTGCATGCATGACAGTTTTCAGTTGTCTGTGAGAACTGTAGAGACAAAACCCTGCCAAATGAAGTTGCAGGGTGGAGGGATTCAGGGAACAGAGGGGAGTGAGAAGGGGAGGTAGCAGCTATTGGTATGACTTCATTAGCAATAGTATGTTTTTAAATAATAGCTGGGGACACCCAGCCTGCCCTATTTTGTGTTAGGCTGTCAGGCTTTCTACTGCAGTTGCTTGAGCAAGTCTGCATGCATTTGGCTCTGTCGTTTGTATTTACACTGTAATGGTTTAGTTGGGTATCCCCTTCCATTAAAGTGTCCAAAATAATTATTTATCTTCAGTGGTATCTTTTGAAATCCAGTATTATATTTTTGACCTCTCAGTCACTACCTGTGTGCGTCTTGTACTTCAGTATTAAAAGTCTGTCTGTCTCCTGGTGAAAGCAGAAGATGTCATGTCTTGTTAAGACAGTGTTTAATTTCAGAACTAGATATTATACACCACTGTAGCCTGCAGGAAGTGTCCAAACATTGTTAAAGGGAGTTTGTGTTAATGTTTTTTTTAATGGGCCTGCCATTGCTTGTTTATTTGTTTTGCTAATGATGAGTGTAAGTGTAGGTATTTTTCTTCCCTTTCTAAATCTAGCTGTAGCCACTGGGCACAAAACACTGGTCTGCCTTGTGCTTTCTTGGCTGACTGAGTGGTTCTCTGATGGGCTGACCGGATCCTACCAGCTTTGGCTTTGCACGGGTCTCCAGACTCATTCACCTGTGCCCTCACTGAAATAACTTCCATTCCATCTTCCTCAGTTTTAACTGACTTTTCTTTCCCATCAGAAAAGTTGTTTCATACGTGTAGAAGGAGAATCAAACTCCACTGGCTTTCTTTTTCTTCTCAATATGAAAAGCTTTGTAAACATCCTGCACTGTGCTGTCATAACCGATTTTTCCTTACTCTTGTTATCACTAAAGCCCCATGGAGAAAGGATTCAGAAGGAAATAGTATTGTGCACTTCTTCTGTCCTACTAACTTCAAGCTCTGTTTAAAGCTTCTTGGTGGTTTTTGGTTTGTGTTGTTGGTTTTGTTGTTTTCTTTGGTATTCTGTTTGTGCTTGGTCTGTTTGTTTTTCTTTTTCTTTTTTTTTTTTTAACTGAGCAATAATTCATGCCTCTTTGTAAAGACAGTAACTCCTCAAAGATTGGTGGAGTTGCTTTTTTTTTTTTTTTCCTGTGAAGCTATAATTTTGGGCAAATAACTATAATACATTGTTTCCAGAGCAAAGAGTATGTGTGTGAAAGGGGAGGGGAAATCTGTGTGTACCTGTGTCTTGTTTTATTTTGAAACCATTGTAGTTTTTTACATGGTTCAAATGTAATTTACCTGTTACTGAAAGGTAATCAAGGAATGCTGCTTTTTCTGCATTTCTTTGTTCAGTTGCTGTGCTGAAGTTCATTTTTTGCAGGAGACAAATGTTTTAATATGTCTGTACTTTACCAAAACTCAGCCTGGAAGCTTGTAAATAACTCTGTGTAGTAATGTTCGTTTTCCTCTAATCCTCTGTTTTGACATCTGAAAATAAAATGCTTCTAATTCCCATTTAATAGGATTTTTATTTTTTTTAATTTTTTTTTAAGAAAAAAAGGCACTTTCAACTCTGCTGTAACTGTTCCATGACTTCTTCTGGCTTGCATCATCTTGCCTGCTTGAATAGCTGTTTCTATTAATGGCAAGGGTGAAATTGTATTGTTTGTGTCATTCCACAGATTGAATTCTTCAGAAGGAATCATTGTATGGATTGCGATGTCAGTATTTTTAAATAATCCTTCACATGGTTATGAATAGGATAAAGTCAGTCTATATAATGATAAAACTTGATTATATTTTCTGAAAACTGGATTAGACTTTCTCTAAATATACAAAAATCCTGAAATTCCTCTTTTGAAGTGTTTTTTTCGCTTGGCGATCCTAACATAACCATCCAGGCTTAGCTACCAGGACAAAAGACATGCTCTGCATTTGGGATTTTGTTTTTAATGCTGGAGAACACAAATATTACATGAGTACACAACTGCTTTATTATGTGGCCTTGGTTTGTAGTCCCCCAAGTTATTTTCCTTTGTTGTATAGAAGAAGGTCCAGTTCTACTCATTGTATCTTGTAGCAAACCAGTTAGTATAAATGCTGGCTGCTCATGCCTTAGGCTGTGTGGAGAGGTGATACAGCAATGAAAAAGGTCTCATTTGGAAGAGGTGCACAAATAGCATTCTGAGAACAGGGATATTCACTAGTTCTGTTAGCAGAATTGAATGGAGAGCCTGCCTACAAAGTAAGGGGCTATAATCTTCTCCTGGAAGAAGAAGAAATGCAGCAGCGATGTCTTTAGGAATCTTGGTCTCTGTTCCCGTACCTGGATGGTGTCCTGCTGTTCATCCCGGCTGGTGCCCGGGGGAAGCCCTCCTTGTGCCTCGCTCCAGCTGGTTCCCGCAGCGCTGCTGGAGTGTGAGGAAACCCAAAGGAAGAGCTGCGACATTCGTGTCATACTGCAGCCATCTGAATTCAAAGCGCACCGACTTCCTTGTCCTCCATGGTAGTGCTGCGCTGGTAAGATGCCAACTGGGCCACCCCTGGGAGATGGCATGCGATAGATATCGCTGCCTGACAAAAGGGGACAGCAGGCAGGTGGTGTCCTGAGCCACTTGTTTGCTCCACGAGACAAGGAAGAACTCCTTGCTCTTTGTGTCACACTGAGTTTTGTCTAAATCAGGGCTGCTGGCATATCCTTAATGAAAATAAACTGATAGATTTGAGAGTAATGCAGGCTTCTTTCTGTAGCACTTCTAGTTGGGATGCCATCATTACGCTTCTTGCGCTGCCTTGTCCCTGTTTCTGAGCTGTGCCAGCAGACATCAGTAATGGTCAACCTACGTTGGGTGGGTGTGAAGAAGCACGACTGTTAGGTTTGCCAAAGCCTTAAGTGTAGAAGTGTTGGGTAAAACTTCCTGTTCTAGCAATATTATTGTTTTCACTGGTTGAATCTTGTGGTGTAGTAAGCCAAGGTAGGGTGTTCTGCTGGAGTTTTATTCCTCCGTGTTAGGAGTATTCTCCTGATTTCTTACCTACATGCTTCAAAAGAGAGTACAACCCTGATTTTGTCTAACAGCTTGATGCAGTATTAACAAGATCCTTCATTGTGCTGGCCAAATTATTCAAAGAGCTGCTTCCGCTCTGTTTCCCTTTATTCTTTTAA